TTAAATGGCAACATGTATCAAAAATCTTAAACTTGGCACGTACTGTACTTTGATCTTGAAAATCCACTTCTAGAAACTTATCCTACAGAAAAAAAAAAAAATCTCCCAAGTATACACAGAGATGCATGTAGGAGAATAGTCACTGCAGAGTTTTAACAGCGGGAGAAAAAAGAAAATTAATGTCTGATAAAAAAAATAGATTAAATGATCACAGACATAAAATGGAATCTTATTCAGTTATTAAACTATTACAACTGACGATATAGCCATGGAAAGATTCATGATATAAGAGGTTAAGCCAAACAAACAAAGTTACAAAATAATCATGTATAGCAGGGCCCCATATTTGTTACCAAAAATTGTATATAAAAAGCTACATGCACACACAAAAGAAGAGGGTTTGAAGAAATAGGTACTGAGGTAGTGGATATAGAAGTATTTTGTAGTTTTTACTTTTCGCTATTTCGATTTCTTTCTACCATAAAGACGCAATTCCTTAAAATACAAGGGAAATGAACTGATTAGCAATTTGCTTCTAAAATATACAACAAATCTAAAAGCGATGACAAGATTTATCTTTATTTAGAAAAATACCTATTTACACAATATTTGATGGTTTATTACTTTTAATGGTTAGTTATCCAATTAAAGATTAGATATCCAATTAAAAAGTTAGTTATCCAATTAAAAATTAGCATCAAGAAATTAGCAAGAGACTTCTTTTTTTCAAGAGATGGATTTCTACCATCAAGTGCAGCAGTACAAAAATTAAATGGATTAGTTTGAGTTTTATATATTTTTATATACTCGAACTCCTTATCATCATAATTACCATTTAGTACATGAATATATCTCAAGTATTTATGTAAGCATTTGAAGTACTTAAACTTAACCTACTATTATTATTCCCATTCAGCTGAAAAAACTGAGACATTGAAAGGTTAAGGGCCAGATCAAAGTCACAGATTGTGTGTGGTCAAACCCAATACCCTGTAGAAATTTTACTCCTAACTATTCAGCACCCTCAACTATATAACAGAAACGGTTCTTTATGGGGTACTACACTGGATTCTGAAACGAAAGACTGAAGGTCATATTTTATTAGGATGAAAAATGAAATTGGAAAACATACCAATTTTCTGTATTTTCTGTAAACCAATTTTTACATCAGTATGTTGGGTTTATCATAGCATACCAGTGGCATTTTGAGATAGTGTTAAATAGTAACCCACCACTACATGGGGACCTAAATTTACGTTTTAAGTCTCTAAACAATATTTTGATAGGAGCCTTCTTTTCAGCTTAATCACCTTGTGCCTTCTATGCTTGGGAAAGGTTCTCTCTTTTCAGAGCCAAACAAACTTACATAAATGACTGGGCACAGTACATGTGGCTCCTAATTTATAAAATCCGTGACTAAGTAATAACATTAATTTTACAAGAAAAGGTTTTAAAGTGTGGCCTCATTGCAACGTTATCCACTCATAAATATTTAATGGAGCTCCTCCAGGCACTATTCTAGGCACTGGAGATAGAATGATGAGCCAAAATCTCTGCTCTTCTGAAACATGTATTTTAGGTGCATTATATATCTGAAGGTCGTAGTCCATTTTTTATTAGCAGCCTAAGGTATAAAACGTAATCTGCTACTTAAAATCTGCTATCCACTTCAGGGGACGGTCTTAGGAGAAGGAAAGCACAGGGCCAGCTGTTCTCCAACTTTTCTATTCCAAGAGAAATTCCTGGAGAACTTGTTTAAAAATCGGATTCCAGGGCCCCATCTCCAGGAATCGGATTCTGAGGTGAGGTGACAAAATAAAAGAAACCCGTATTTTTAACAAGAACCTCACTTAATGCTGATCTAAATGATCTGAGGTCCAGACTTTGAGAAACCCACCAGTAAGTGGAGCCATTCAGAAGAAAATGATCATTCCGAAGAGACTAGTGCTATGGCAGTGAAACCTGAACTGAGTAACATAAACCCAACCCTCACGTAATTAATTCTGTGTCATTCACAAATCTAGCAAATTAAAAAGATGAGTAAGAATGGAGCAATTTACCAGCACCTCCCCCTTAACATCTTATGGGATATTTGAATTTGCCTCAAACTAGGCATTTGCTGAAAAGATGAACTTGAGTTCTACCAAGAGAAGAGATAAGCATTAAGAAAAAGGAAATTTCTAGTAAATTGCAAAAAAAAAAAAAAAAAAAGCTAAGAGGGACAAACATTTCAGGGAACTAACTTGCTACTACTCATTTTATGCCCTATTTCACAATGCTTAGTATCTGAACAATCCACAGGGTTCCAAAGTACATCAAAAATTTGTTCATTTCCTCTCCTACTCAGGCAGAATAATAATCATAGAGTTTTGTGAAGGTGCCATGTGCCTCAGCAACTTCAACAGACACATTCTTAAAGAAACGCCATTAAAAAAAAAATTCTATCAGAAATGCTTTTTAAATAGCTTTAATGCCACCACTAAATTAGTGTCCCTTCATTTCCAATTTAGATTACCTGAAAAGTTCCTGGGTTCTTTACCAACCTCCTACAGGAAAAAAAAAATTTCCCTTGGATATTAGAAGGACGTACATTTTTAGTTATAAAGCAAACACCATCAGTGCAACATAAATGTGTAAACTAGAAGGAAAAAAAAATCTTTTAAAGAAAAAACCCAGCATTTTGTTTGCAGAGATAAACAGGCAGAAATCCTAACCTTGAAGAGAGAAATTTAAGCTTCTGCAAGCTTACATCAGCTAAAAATAAAGGTATCCAGGCAAATACATCCCTCCCATTTCAGGGGTTGAGAGTAGCACTTCGCGAACCAGCTGGCCTGCTGGGTCCTGGCCCCAGTCCCTAACCTCAGATCCTGTCCACTGCCTAATGCATGAGATCTCTGAGCCTGTGTGTTCTTCATGCGTTGAAAGGGATTAGTGACACTGCCTCTCTCCGTTGACGGAATTGAGATTTTTTTTTCCCCAGATGCATTTGTTTTCATTATCTGTCCTTTTTTACTGTGCTTGCTTCTATCATTTTGCGCGTTTGACCACGGAAACGGCGAGAGCGGGACGCCCGGGGATAAGCACAAAGACGCGGCATCTGTCCGGGGTGCGCATATATTTAAAATTTCAGGCTGGTGCTGTCTTCAGAACAGCAGTGATGATGACAAAGTTCTAAGGGAAACTTTCATATTAAGAGGCTATCAGAAATCTCCACCGCCTCCCGCTCAGCGGGGCAATTAAAAAAAAAATCAAAATAAAAATAATTAAGTAATTCTGAAAAGACGCGAATTCATTTCTTCAAAAGCAAAGCCCTTCTCCAGTCTGAAATCACAACAAAAGATGCCCGCAGGGAGTGTCATCTGCGAAGTTGTTTTCTAATCCCGAGGCAGACAGAAAAGTCAAGGAGGGTGCAACCCAAGGGCTGGGCTCCTTTTCCTGCGGATCCCGGTCCCAGGTCGTCGATGGGGCGAGCAGGGACCGCAGCGGTGGCCCCGCGGGGTCCGCACCGCGAGACGGCGGCCGGGAGGAGCGGCGGACCCCGGGGACGCGCGCTCGCGGCGGAGGGGGAGCCCCCGGCGGGGCGCCTCGGGGCCGAGCGGCATTGACTGCCCTTCACCGGCACGCGACGGAGACCAGGGGATGAGCCGGCGGCTCGAGGCCCGCGGGCGAGGCGGGCGGCGCGGGGCGGCTGCCCGCGGGCGCCGGGTCCCCGGGAGGCTCGGCCCGGACGCCCCTCTCGCCCCCGCGGACGCGCGCTGAGCCCGCAGCCCGTGCAGCCGCCGCCGCCACCCGCTCGGCCCGCCGCGGCGTCCCGGCCTCCCGGCGCCGGCCAGCCGGCCGCCCCGCCGCCGCCCCCGGGAGCATGGGCAAGGACGACGCGCAGGGGCGGCGGGTGCCGCGCCTCCCGGGCCAAGGCTGCAGGGCGGCCCCGAGGGACGCGCGCCCCGGGCGGCCATCGCGCCGACCCCCGCCCCCGCCCCCGCCCCCGCCGCCGCCCGGTCCAGCCTGCTCCTCACCTCATCTCCGGGCGGGTCCGCGCTGCCGCCCCAGGGACAAATCAGTGCGGCTCGCTCGCCGCCGGGAGGGACGCAGGAGCCGCAGCCCCGCACACCATCCCCGCCCGCCCGTGCGCCCGTGCGCCCGTGCGCCCCGGAGCCCGCTCGGGATTCTCCCTCGCGAGCCGCCGTACTACGGAGCAACCAAGCTGCGCTCCCTCCCTCTCCTCCGCTCCTCTCTACCTCCCTCTCTACCTCCCTCGCTCCCTCCCCCGCTCCCTCGCTCCCACCTATCTCCTCATCTCCCTCCGCCGCCTCTCCCGCCCCCGTCCCCGCCACCATCTCCGCCCACGGATGGGTGGGAACCGGCACTCGCCAATCGCAACAAGGCGCTCGCACCTCCTCACCGCCCCCTGCCGCTGCCCCCGCCCACCGCGGGAACGAGGCGGGGGCAACTGAGAAAAAAATGGAAGAGGACAGAGTGACAGCCAAGTGAACCAATCAGCGAGCGCGCAAAGGGGGGGGGGTTGGTGGGCGGGCGCTTGTCGTTTCTCCCCGCCCCCTTCCCAGAAGGCGTAACCTTCTGGACTGGGATTTCCCTGACCCGCCTTCTGGAGCTGCACCGGTTTGGGCGCATCCGTCCGTCGCCCTGCGAGGCACTTATTAAACTGTATCCAACTAAATCATTACAAAAGGTTTTAAGGGAGAGAGCAACGTGGAGGCGAAAAAGAGGCGGGTCACTGTCCAAGGAAGGCGGTAGGGCAAATGGTTGGAATGAGGAAGGGTGTGGTCTTTATTTAATAGAAATTTGCATAAAACGGAACCCCTCCGTGAGACTACAACTTCGCCCTTTTATTGGTAGCCCCGGGGCGTCTCGTCCCGGCGGGGCATTCTGGGAGATGTAGTTCTGCGTTCGGTTGCTATGGCGTTCTCCACAGCCTCCGGTCCAGAAGTGACGAGAGGCCTGACCAATGGGAGCAGCGCCTGGGCCAGCGGGGGCGGGCCCCTCTGCAGTAGGACTCCAAGGTGGCGGTGGCGAGGGCGCAGGCCGTTGGGGCGCCTCGGAGGCAGGTGAGTCCCCGGACCTGGATTTTGTGTCTTCGGAAGCGGGGCCTTGGACTTTGGACGCCTCGCGGAACCGTGCAGCCCTGGGGTGAGTGGTGGGTCGCGTTGCACCCCAACCCCAGACCCTCTTGGGCCCAGGCCTAGCTTAGCCGAGGCCGCCGAGGGGCGGGAAAGACTTGACCATTTCCTGGTCCTTACAGGTTTTGATTGTAGGTTTTATCTCAATTTGCATCTCTCTTTACATTTATAGAAGCCAGAGTCGGGAAGTTCCCTTCCCCTGAATCTCCCAGGTTGGATTTTTTTGCACACACACCCCTGCTTTCTTTTTATTCCTATAATTTAAGTTTGTGTTTCATTCTCTCATACCCCTCTGCCACCGCTTTTTTTCCTGCTTCACTTTGCTTATTCAGTGAAGCAAAGGTATTTGCATTTACGTGATCATGCGGCCAGATATGCCCTCTTAAGATGAACAGCGGAAAACCCTGGAGCAACGCGTGAGAATCGCCTCAGAATCACGTACGAGCGCAGATGCTGATTCTGCAGGTCCGGGCGGGGCCTGAGACTCTGCATTTCCCACCAGCTCCCCAGGCTGCTCGTCCAAGGTCTGAGTAGCGGGGTGTTCAACTCAGCTCTGCTCAATACAAAGATAATGCGGGGCACTTAATTTTAAATTTTCTGGTAGCCACATTAAAAAAAAAAAAGTGAAAAGAAGCACGTGAAGTTAATTTTCACAATGTTTCGTTTAACCCAAAATATCCAAAATTTATCATTTCTACCCATAATCAAATATTTTTAAATTGAGATATTATACATTCGTCTGTTTGTTCATTAAAAAAGAATAAGCTGTACCCCGACGTGGAGCTTGAGCTCAGCAACTCCAGGATTTAGATGCACCTGCTCTGTGGATGGAGCCAGCCAGGCGTGGCAATTCTTTTTTTTTTTTTAATCATCTTTGAAATCTAACGTGTTTTACCTTGACACCACATCTCAGTTCTGACTAGACACAATTCACATGTGCTTTAGCCACCTGTGGACTAGTGGCCGCTGTTATTGGACCCGGCAGGTCCAGATGATAGAGGTGCCCCTTGCAGAAATTAAAAGGTGTTAAAGCTCAAAGGGTTGCATGTCACCAACCCCTTTGCTGCTCTGTGAGATGGGCCTGGGAACTATTTTAGAGAGGTTCTCTGCCCAAATTGCGGAAATAATAGTGAAAATAGCCAGCACGTATTGAATGCTTATTTTGTGCCAGGTGTTGTACTGAATGCTTTGCTTGTGTTGTTTAATCTTTAAAGCAACCGTTGGGGGCAGCCCCGGTGGCTCAGCGGTTTAGCGCCGCCTTCAGCCCAGGGTGTGATCCTGGAAACCCAGGATCAAGTCCCACGTTGGAGTCCCTGCACGGAGCCTGCTTCTCCCTCTGCCAGAGTCTCTGCCTCTCTCTGTGTGTCTCTCATGAATAAATAAATAAAATCTTAAAAAAGTAAAAAATAAATCAAACAACCGTTGGAGGTAACTACTATGCTTTGTAGAGGTGAAACCTAAGGCCTGGACAATTAAAATTGAATAGCCTAAAGCCATTTGGCCAGTAAATAGAAGAACCAGAATTCAAACTCAGGTCAGTTTTGACTTCTAAATCCTGTCAACCACAACAGTGTATGATTATTGTTTTTTGATCAATAATTTCACTTCATTGATGTCTCTGCTCTAGTTTATGGCAGATGAAATGTTCAGAGTTGAAACAGAGAGGGTTCCCCCATAGAAGGTTAATTTACCTACCACTTGGAGTGACATATTTTGGTAGGTAGTTTTACGAACACTCCATGCCATATATTTTTTTTTCTTTTTTTTTAAGTAAGTTCTAGGCCAACATGGGGCTTGAATTCAGGACCCAACAATCAAGAACCACATGCTCTAGGAGTACCTGGATGGCTCAGTTGGTTGAGCATCTCACTCTTGATTTTGGCTGAGGTGGTGGTCTTGGAGAAGTGGGATTGAGACCTGCTTGGGCCTCTGTGCTCAGTACAGAGTCTGCTTGTCCCACCCCACTTGCTTCACCCCCTGCTTGGGCTCTTTCCCTAGCTAGCTCTAAAGTAAATAAATGAATTCTTAAAAAAAAAAAAAAAGTCATATGCTCTACCAACTGAGCCATCTCCATGCTGTATTATAAGTAATAAAAGATCACTTCCCCTGTACTATATGCTGGGCAGTAATGTGTCTTGATTCATTGGTGTACCTCTATGAAGAAAAAGGATGAGAAAGCTTGGAAGTTGTTAAAATATTTCACCATGGAGTCACAGTGTTTTTTAGTTTTGTTTGTGGAAAAGCATTCTATGCTCATGAATTGGGAGAATAAACATTTTTAAAATAGTTTTAAAATATTTTATTTATTTGAGAGAAAGAATGAGTAGGTGGGGAAGGACTGAGGGAGAGGGACAAGCACACTCCGTGCTTCTTAAAGCACAGAGCCCGATGAGGACTGATTACATCTTTTTTATTATCATTATTATTATTATTATTATTATTATTATTATTATTTTAAAAAATAATGCTCCTGTGAACTTTACATTGAATATTTCAAAGACAACATTATGATTTTTCTAGGCCTCCCGAACAATACTATGCTGAGCTAAGGTGAGTTTTATGATTAGAAGAGCAAAACTAGGGGTGCCTAGGTGGCTCAGTCAGTTAAGCATCTGCCTTCAGCTCAAGTCATAATCCCTGGGTCCTGGGATCAAGCCCCACATTGGGCTCCCTGCTCAGTGGGGAGCATACCTCTCCCTCTACCCCTGCTCATGCTTGCTCGCTTGCTCTTTCTCTCAAATTAATAAATAAAATACATTTTTAAAAGAGCAAAAATACACATATCTACACATGCTAAAATATATTTTGCAAAATAATTTTTCTATTTTTATACAATGTAAGAAATACACATCTTGCGAATTATTTTCTCTTCATTGTGGATTTACTAGTAAATATTTACTCAAAATTACAATTCCTATTTTGCTTCTGAAGCAAGAAGTTGTTCTTGTTTTTTTTTAAGATTTTATTTATTTATTCATGAGAGACACAGAGAGAGAGGCAGAGACATAGGCAGAGGGAGAAGCAGGCTCTCTGCGGGAAGCCTGATGCAGAACTCGATCCCAAGACCCCGGGATCACGACCTGAGCCAAAAGCCGACCTTCAACTGCTGAGCCACCCAGGGATCCCCTCAGAACACTTTTAGTCTGAAAGTGTAAATAAGGAATAATCTGTAGAGGTTTTATTTACAATTATTAATAGATGAGCTTCTTGAGGGACTAAATGTAGCAGAAGAGCTAATGGAGTTCATGTTGCTGTTATAACTAAGATGAAACCATTCAAAGTTTCTTCCCATTGGTTTTTTTAGAAATGCCTTTAAAGATCAGTATTTTTATTAACTGCTTTCTTGAAGTGTTCAAGTGTTTCTTCTTTCCACCAAAAATTATTTAAAATAGGTGTCTTTGGACTCCTGGGTGGCTCAGTTAAGCATCTGACTCTTGATTTCAGCTCAGGTCATGATCCCAGTGTTGTGGGATTGAGCCCTGTGTCACTGCCCCTCCGCCGGCCCCCCCAAAGATATTCAACTATTTTATCTTATATATGCAAATATCTTTACATTCAATAAAGATTTTATTAAATAGTGGACTAAGTGTTACATTTAATCTAGACTACCACCTGAGAAGCTATATTATCCATTCTCTCATTTTCTTAGTGTTAAGAACTCAGTATTCCTTTTTGTGATCTGGAAAACAAGTAAATAACATTTCGTCAGTTTTCTTCTGGCCATTTCTCTAAAAATACTCTTCTTTCTTCACTTTGTAACTTTGAGGATATTTTTCTTCCCACATAGCTTTTTATTGGACCAATTAAACATTACTTTTTTTTCCCACTAATCAGGCCAATTTTAACTCAGATTTAGAGGAACCATTTAGGACATTCTGACTAAAGATATCGACATTATTATGTATATAATATATGCTTTAGGGATACAGACAAGCAGTTATCTTCCAGGGTCTTTGAAATTGGAGTGCATGTAGTATGAGGCCCATGTGACTACTGATTTGGGGAACGTGCCATATGTTTTAAGATTCATTGGGCAGGGGCACCTGGCTACCTCAGTCAGAAGGACATGTGACTTGATCTCCACGTTGTAAGTTCGAGCCCCATTTTGGGCATAGGGATTACTAAAAGAATCAAATAGGGGATCCCCGGGTGGCTCAGCGGTTTGGAGCCTGCCTTCGGCCCAGGGTGTGGTCCTGGAGTCCTGGGATCAAGTCCCACATCAGGCTCCCTGCGTGGATCCTGCTTCTCCCTCTGCCTCTCTCTCTCTGTGTCTCTCATGAATAAATAAATAAAATCTTTAAAAAATAAAAAAAAAATCGGGATCCCTGGGTGGCGCAGCGGTTTGGCGCCTGCCTTTGGCCCAGGGCGCGATCCTGGAGTCCCGGGATCGAATCCCACGTCGGGCTCCCGGTGCATGGAGCCTGCTTCTCCCTCTGCCTGTGTCTCTGCCTCTCTCTCTCTCTCTGTGTGTGTGACTATCATAAATAAAAATAAAATAAAATAAAAAATAAAAAATAAAAAATAAATCAAATAAACTTTTTTTTTAAGATTTTATTTATTTATTTATTCATGAAAGAGAGAGAGAGGCAGAGACTCAGGCAGAGGAAGAAGCAGGCTCCACGCAGGAAGCCTGATGTGGGACTCAATCCTGGGTCTCCAGGATCACACCCCAAGCTGAAGGGTGCTAAACCGCTGAGCCACCAGGGCTGCCCAAAAAAGAATCAAAGTTAAAAAAAAAAAAAAAGATGGATGGATAGAGAAGATACTGACTACCAGCTTTACAACAGGAGCTGCTTTGTTTTTTGTTTTTTTTTTTAAATAATAAATTTATTTTTTATTGGTGTTCAATTTACCAACATACAGAATAACACCCAGTGTAGGAGCTGCTTTGAAATCAAGATGTTGATATGCAATTGTTTCATTTCTCAAAATGGAACTACTAATACCTCCAGACTGAGTAGGAGCAGTGATTTCTTCATTTAATAATAATAGATATTACTCTCAAGCAATGGCTGGGGAAACCTGATAGTGAGTGAGTAAAGCAAGATTTTGCTTGTTAGTATGTTATGAAATCTGGAAGCATGGAAGAGATGGGGTAGCTCGGGTGTCACTGGGGGTGATTTCAGAGAAGGAATATGACATGAGTTTTATTCACTTGGCAGAATCTGTAAAGTAAGTTGGGCACAGTCTCAGAGAACAAGCAACGCCTGTACGTCCTGAGACGCAGATGACCAGATGGTGTGAGGTCACACTGACTAGCTCAGAACGAGAGTGTGCCTGTGTTAGAAAGAGGGGAATAAAGTAGATTAGAGACAGTGAATATGCATTTAGACAGCCTTGATAGCTAGGCAAAGGGGGTTGGATCTAAAGCTGTAGGGACGGGCGCTGGGTGGCTCAGTCAGTTAAGCATCTTCTTTTAGCTCAGGTCAGGGTCCTGGGAGCAAGCCCCACATCAGGCTCCCTGCTCAGTGGGGAGTCTGCTTCTCCCCTTACCCCTTCCCCTGCTTGAGCTCTCTTTCTCTCTCAAATAAATAAAATCTTTTTTTTTTTTAAGATTTTATTTATTTATTCATGAGAGACACACAGAGAGAGAGGTAGAGAGGCAGAGACACAGGCAGAGGGAGAAGCAGGCTCCATGCAGGGAGCCCGACGTGGGACTCAATCCCGGGACTCCAGAATTATGCCCTGGGCCGAAGACAGGTGCTCAACCGCTGAGCCATCCACGGATCCCTAAAACCTTTTTTAATTTAAAAAAAAAAATTAAGTTGTAGGAGGGGCGACTGGCTGACTCAGTTTGTAGAGCTGCGACTTTTGATTTTGAGTTGTGAGTTCAAGCCCTCCATTGGGTGTGGAGATAACTTAGAAGAATAAAATGTTAAAAAAAAAATTGTGAGAATACATAGCCTCTATCTCTGCTTAGGTCTTTCCTCTCTCCCCCGCCACAACAGCCAACACACTTACATTCACATACCTCCAATCAAATGGTTAGAATTAACATCTGGCCTACCTCTATCTCTGAAACTAATAATATACTATATGTCAATTATTTTAATTTATGTTAAACTTAATTTAAAAAATTAATATCCCCCTCAAAAAAGAAAAAAGAATGTCTTAACAGGATAATTTGTAAAAGACCCAAACTGGAACAATCATGTATCTGTCTGTAGTAGAATGGATAAATAATAATTTTTAAAAAAAATTTTTTATAAATAATAATTTAATCACACAATAGAATATAGCATAACAAGGGTAATAGGGCAGCCCCGGTGGCGCAGCGGGTTAGCGCCGCCTGCAGCCCAGGGTGTGATCCTGGAGACCTGGGATGGAGTCCCACGTCAGGCTCCCTGCACGGAGCCTGTTTCTCCCTCTGCCTGTGTCTCTGCCTCTCTCTCTCTCTGTCTCTCATGAATAAATAAATAAAATCTTAAACAAACAAATAAATAACAAGGGTAAAAAATGAACCACAATATAGGAAACCGCATAGATGGTGCTCACAGATATAATATTGAGAGAAAGAAACTAGACGTGAAGGAGTGTGATTTCACTTCTATAAACCAAAAACAGACCAAACTAATCTGTGCTGTTAAAACTTGGGATCTTAAGTGTCCTTAGGAAGGGAAGGTGGTGACTAGAAGGGGAACAAGGGAACTTCTGGAGTTCTAGTGATGTCATATCTCCTTGACATGACATGGCCGTGTTCACTTTTCAAAATTCAGTAAGCTATACATTTAGGATCTGTGAATTTGGCTATATGTATTTTATACTTCTATAAAATTGACATTTTAGAAAATAGTCTTGCTGTATAATTATAGTTGACTCCTGAACTGGTCTGGGATTAGGGGAACCAACCCTCTGAGTGGTTGAAAACCTGCATGTAACTATTGACTCCCCAAACACTTAACTACTAATAACTTGTTGAAGGCTTACTGATAAAAACAGCCAACACATATTTTTTATGTTACATGTATTATATTCTGTTCTCTTACAATAAAGTAAGCTACCAAAAAGAAAATTTTATTAAGAAAAATCATAAGAAAGAGAAAATACATTTACAGTAGCATACTATTTATTTTTTTTAATTTTTATTTATTTATGATAGTCACACACACAGAGAGAGAGAGAGAGGCAGAGACACAGGCAGAGGGAGAAGCAGGCTCCATGCACTGGGAGCCCGACGTGGGATTCAATCCCGGGTCTCCAGGATCACGCCCTGGGCCAAAGGCAGGCGCCAAACCGCTGTGCCACCCAGGGATCCCCAGTAACATACTATTTAAAAAAAAAAACAAAAACCCACATGTAAGTGGACCTGTGCAGGTCAAACTCGTGTTGTTCAAGAGTCAACTATTATGAAAATTAAACAACTGTAGAATCCTTAGAAATGCTTCAAGAAGTTCACAGAATACAGGTTTAATACTTCCATTACATGGTTCATAAACTGATACAGAAGAATCAGGGGTATGATTTTAATGAGTGTCTTGACTGTTCACTTTTTCTTTTTAATGGTCTTTTTTAAGAGTTTGAAAGCCCTGGGGTGCCTGGTGGCTAAGTTGGTTAAGCATTGGTCTCTTGATTTCTGCTCAAGTCCTGTTCTCAGGGTCCTACAATCCAGCCATGTAGGCTCCATACTTGGCATGGAATCTGCTTGAGATCCTCTCCGTCTGCTCCTCCCCGCTCATGCTCTTTCTCTCTCCCGAATAAATAAATCCAAAAAATAAAAAGCCTTGAAATCCCTTCAGATGCCTCTTTTGGTAGTTAAAATTGAGTTCTGTGGCCCTTGTGAAAAAAATTTTAAGTACATCTAATAATTTTTATTGATTAGCAAAGTGAAATTAAGCACTTGGTCACCTTGCTTTGAAAGGTTAAATGTTAAACCCATTCTTACTAAGATATGTACTCAGAGATTATCCTTTTATTTGACCACTTCCTTTTTTTTTTTTTAAGATTTTATTTATTTATTCACGAGAGACACACAGAGAGAGACAGAGACACATGCAGACAGAGGAGAAGCCGGCTCCATGCAGGAAACCCGATGTGGAACCCGATTCTGGGACTCCAGGATTGCGCCCTGAGCCAAATGCAGATGCTCAACCACCAAGCCACCCAGGCATCCCGTTATTTGACCACTTTCAAGAATTATTATCTAAATAGTTTTATTTGAAAACTATGTGTAGTCATTCTATCTGTTGCCAGCATTATTTTTCAATTTTTGCTTTCATTTGGTCTAGGAGACAATTTATTTCATGCTTATATATATTTATGTGTGTGTGTGTGTATGTGAATTTTTTTTAGGTGACTATGAAAGGCTTATATTTTCAAAAGAGTTCTACAAATGAAGAAATAACATTTGTATTTCAAGAAAGGGTAAGAAAAATTGTTCAATTATTAATTGAAAAAGGTTACATATTTTCTATATGTAATAGTGTCAGTTAAGTTAGTTTGAATGGAACTAAGTGAGCAAAAATTACTTAAATGAAACTTACAAACTTTTAATTTTATGTGCAAATGGTGGTCCATGTTACAGTATAACCATACTTTTTTTAAAGAGTTGCTTCAAAAGAGTTTTTAGTTCCTCAGGGTGGTGGTATAAAACATATTAGGAAAACAGAACAACCTTGATAGTCTTATATGTTGCAAAATTAACCCCACATATTCAGAATACCACAATAAAGTGAGTATTCAGATTGTATCCATATTTCAGAAAATATTTCTCCCATGTTGTAAAATGAAAGAGGTAGAAAAGCATTGTTCTCCACACCAAATTCTGAGCTTTGCAAAATTATCTCATTTGCTAAGTTCTAAATTGTCTCTCATTTTTGCCCACTTTCAGAATAGGTAATAAAATTTTCATATACTGGTGATTGTTTCAAAGATTTGTAGCAAGCCAGAATCATTCCACGGACAACCTAGGACCCTAAACTAAGTACTATATTTATTTCATGGTGGTAGTAAGAACGTCTAGATCATGGGCACAATCCAATTTTTCTATTATCTTTTACTAACTCCAAAATTAGTTAGGTCAGGAGTCAAAATCTCAGACAGCTTGTCTTCTACCATTGAGTCAGGATGAAGATCTCAGAGATTTGATTGGCTCTCGGGAAGAATCGTGTACAGGTTCATACAATCATGGGTAAAATCTGCACATTTATCAGTAATATTGAATATCTTCCTAATATCAAATACTATCAAATCTGAAACTTAAAGAGATATTCCCAAAGTATTGTGTTTAAGTCAAATCAAGTTCAAGTCAAGTCAAACCGTAATCTCTTTGATAGGTCATAGGAGGGGCTATAGAAGTAGTTATTCTTCCCCAGCTTCTGATCTAATGTTTCAGCATATCAGGAGTTGAGAGGAATATTTTAATTATTGGTGCCAGGATATGGTTGTTTGGCAGAGTGATATTATATTTAATAAATAATACAAGTGGGTGACACTGAACACCTGAGTTGAGCAATTCTTTGCCTTTGATGTTATATCTAGCTATGGGATAGTGCAGTAATTCAGATACATTAGGTTTGTATTTTGGCCCCAAAAATCCCATGGGGTATGCTGAAATGTCTAAGACAGATGTTAAAAAGGGTAAGTTAAATAAGAGATACACAGGTAATACCAAGCAACTTCATTTATAGCATTAAGAAAATTCCAAAATCAGTGAAGGCTTTATGTTATGCATATAAGGATATCCCTGGATGTGTGAAGCTTTGATGCTTTGAGGTTATTTAGATTGAAATTAAGTACAGTATTTGTTTCTCTCCTTTTTATCCTAAAAATGTATTGCCTATGTATGTGTCCATATTGGTCTCTATACATTTTTAAAATAACTATCCTAAGGCTTTTTAAATATTTTACCCCAAACTACCCCTTCTGTTGTTTTTTTTTATTATTATTATATACTATGGGATAATTACTTGTGGTTTTTTCACTTAAGTTAGGTATAAGATTTGTGGTGGGTTTAGTTTTGTTCAGTTATGTGTGACAATTTTCACAACATAAAGGTATGTTCTCAAAAAAATATGTTATCATTTGGTTCTAGGAAAATCTTCCTGTTTTAGAGGATAACTATGTGAGACTTCAAGTTAAAGCTTGTGCTCTAAGCCAGATAAATACAAAGGTATGAAGTTTTTTTTTTTTAAGATTTTATTTATTTATTCATGAGAGATGCAGAGAGAGAGAGAAGCAGAGACACAGGCAGAGGGAGAAGCAGGCTCCATGCAGGGAGTCCAACATGGGACTCGATCCTGGGTCTCCAGGATCAGGCCCGGGGCTGAAGGCGGCGCTAAACCGCTGAGCCACCCAGGCTGCCCAGTATGAGGCTTTTATTTTGACCAAAAGTCAAATGAGAGTTCCTGGTATATTTAGTGTACAAATATATAATGAGAACTGACTTCGGAGTGCCAAAAAAATAACATCCTTAGAAGACTAAAACAGCTAGGGGAAAAAAATGTAATGTGAATTTTTGTGTTTCTGTATTAAACTGTTATCTAGCTGAAGTCATACATTTTATATTATTACATGAAAATAGCTCATAAACTCCTTTACATTGTGAAAGGCTGAAAATTTATAATTAAGGCCTTTAAGAAATTACTTTTTTTAAAAAAAATTATTTATATTTACTTCTGAGAGAAAGAGACCATGAACAGGGGGAGGGGTAGAGGGAGAAGGGAAGCAGACCCCCTGCTGAGCAGGGAGCCCCACATGGGGCTTGATCCCAGGATCCCAGATCATGACCTGAGCTGAAAGCAGATACTTAACTGACTGAGCCACCCAGGCGACTCAAGGAAGAAACTACTTTTATAAATACAGTAAAAATAAAACTAGAAATCTAATCAATGGCTTATTAACTATTCTGTCGCTATTTCTAGTTAATGTCTTTAGGCGGGGCTCATATTCTTCATGTCATTTCTCTCTCTCTTGCTCATAATTACACATCCCCAACCTCCTACCACCCCAGTCATCAGTCATGGTTGATATGAAGTATGTGAACAGTCTTCAAATAGTAAATAAGGTGTGGTTAAATGTGCCATGATAAATAAAGCAGATCCATTTACTCAGTTTTGTAAAGATTAATACTATTGTTTTAAAGATTTTATTTTTTTTTCTTGTGGTCCCTACAATCCTATATCTTTAAATATGTCTAGCATATCAGTATTACTATAAAAGTGCAAGTGGCAGGAGCTACAGGTTTATGTATGCTGCCACTTTGAAATTCAAGCATTTAATTGGTTCAGAATCTAACAAAATACCTCTTAAAAAATAATTTATCCAGGATGCCTGGGTGGCTCAGCAGTTGAGCATCTGCTTTTGGCTCAGGACATAATACCAGAATCTGGGATCAAGTTCTATATCAGGCTCCCTGCATGGAGCTTGCTTCTCCCTCTGCCTGTGTTGTGTCTCTGCCTCTCTTTCTGTGTCTCTCGTGAATACATGAATAAAATCTTTTAAAAAATAATAATTATTTATCCTTGGGGTGCCTGGGTGGTGCCATTGGTTGGGCATCCAACTCTTGGTTTTAGGTCAGGTCATGATCTCAGGATCGTGACAGCATGCCCCACAATGGTCTTCCTACTAGTCATGGAGTCTGCTTGAAACTCCCTCACTCTCTTCTGCCCCTCTCTCTCATCCTCTCACCCTCTCTCTCTCTCTCAAAAAAAAAATCTTTTAAAAATAATAATAGTAATCTACCCTTTAAAAAAAAAGAAACTCCAATCTGAAATTGTATGGCAGTTTCCTTTATGCATATCCATAGCTTTTTTCCACATGCCCTTTACCTAAGACTTGTGAGAAACACACAGATGATGTCCAAAGATGTTGGAATGGAGACCCTTTTTTCCTCCATGACTACATCCCCTTTATTCAGCAATATCTTCTCCAAACTCCCTTCGCCCCACCAGAATGAAGTGACTAGTAAAAAGTATTTAGACTTTTGGCCATAATTTCCTTTCATATGTGGCAAGTAAAATTGCTAAATAAAGGATGCTAGTGGTGATTTGAATAATAATACTAATACCTAAATTCTTCAGATCAACTAATTGTTCAGGCAACTCTTGGTTGCCCACTATAGAGAGAAACTAATTTTGTGAAGTGTTTTGCTTTGTCTTAACTCCAAAAATTAAATCATATTTGCTTTTTCTGTGGTCTAATTTTTGCTCTTGCTTTCCTTATATATGAGAAGAAACCAGGATTTATTCTTAACAATAACAGTCTGTCATGATTTAGCTTCTGACAGAAATGAAGATGGAGAAAGATTTCTTTCCTGTTGGGAGAGAAATTGCTGGAATTGTGTTAGATGGTAAGTTTACAGATGTCAATATCTATACTTACTTTCTAAGATGAAGGAATTAAATGGTAGCTAATTGATTTACCAGTTCATAAAATTATGTACACTTCCTCAGATGTGAAATATAATTATACAAAAATGTTTCCCTCTTTTAATTGAAAAGAAAAGTGGAACTTAGTGTTTTTCTTTTAATTTTATTTTTCTAATTGATGTCTTATAATTAAAGAGCTTATTAGAGTTTAGTAAATATTTGGATATTATTTGTTTAAATCCATGAGTAATTATATTTGATGGAATGACCAACGTTGTTATTTTTATAATGTTTACAAACCATAAATAACTTGTGTAGGTTGGCTTTGGGCCAAAATTTATAATAATAGTAACTACATTCACATTCAATTTTTAAAGTTTGCCTAAAATTGAGCATTTAAAATCAGTCTGCTCATGAAAAAATGGGAAGAAAAAACCGGTAAAGTTTTATGATTGCCTTAAAAAAAAAATTTAAGTTTTATTTAGTAAGTAATGGTCTTAACATGCAAGACAGTAAGTCTAAGTATTTGAGATAATTTGTTTCTAAATAGACCTACTTTCCATATCCATTGCTAATAGGTAGTTCATGATCAATCAGTATGTTTGTTCTTTCTGCATATGTGAGTGAGTGGATGAGTATGTAATATGGGTTAGACTGAGTCTTACCTGTGATTTTAAGCTGTAATATATTTGACTCTTTCTCAGTGTTTTCTTGAGATACAGGTAAATCATAATTTCATTTCTTCTTTCTTCTTCTTAGACTGTAGGAAAATAAAAATAATAATTCTAATAGAATATGATCATTGTCATGTCATTGCATTCATTCATTCATTCATACCAGATATAGTGAGCATTTGCTAAGAGCTTCGAATATTAAATGAGACAAAGTCCCTGCCCTCAAAGAATTTACTTCCTAGGGTAAAGACAAATACATCCTTATGAGCAGATTATTATGAAAGCTCAGAAGAGAGCTATCCAGCCCAGCCAGAAGCAACAAGAAAGGCTTCTTGGGTACTTTAACCAGACTAAGGAGAATTGTACTCAGCACAGAGGGTGTCATATACAAAGACAGAAGCAAGTGATAATCTGATGTTTCGTAACAATTAGAGTTTGGTGTTGTCAGGGCAAAAGCAAAGTTCCGGGCAGGAGTCAGAGGCAAGATATTTGACAGCAGAGAAACAGTTTGTCAGGAAAATTCTCCTTCAAAAATAGCAGAATAAAAGATAACAAACAAAATATTTTAATGATATAAACACTGATTCCTTATCTCCAAAATATGAGGCAGGATGGTAGACAAGGGCCAGAGCCATAATGAGCCTCATATGTCAGATTGGGTTTTAGGAAGATTATTGGAGTGGCCGTATGAAGGATGCTTTTGAGGCTGTAGGCAAGAGGACTAGTTGGGTCATAGACTAACAAGCAAGAGGTGACAAAATCCATAACCTAGATAGTGGTGGCAGAGGTGCATGTTCAAGAAATACTGAGGAAGTAACGTTAGCAGGACTGAATAATTAATGAACAGGAGAATAAAAGCAAGTAAGAGCCAGGAGTGATTTACCCCATTCTAGTTAAGGTATGAATTGGTGCCACTAATTGAGAAGGGAAAAGGATCTGATTTGGAGGAAGATGGTGAGTTTAGATTTATACTTGTTGAGTTCTAGGTACATAAGTGACATCTCACTGGAGAGGTCTATTAAGCAATTGTGTGAGTTTGAGCTCAAATGTAAGAGAGTTCTTGCTAGAACTGTATATATTTGAGAAATGTTCCCATGTCAATTGTATATGAAATCAGAGTAGAAATGGAGAAGGACCATAAACATAGCCACTCTTTGGGAGGCAACTGAAAGGAGTATGAAGGAAGCCAATTGAAAAGGATCAGAGTGATCCCAGGAAGACAGGGATCAGCAGCCAAAAAAGGGAAAAGTATAGTGCATCAGAAGCCAAAAATATTGGGAGGATGGTACAGGGAGGGATCCAGAGAAGAGCAAACTGTGAAAAGAAGATTTGAAAGTAGGAATATCAAACAGTTGCTTGTAGAGTACCAACAAATGAACTCTGGAACCATCTTTCCCAGAGCCAGCCAAAGAGGCTACTTCCTTCATCTTCCTTCATTGCATTACATTAGTGTCATCTGTTAACTAAGAATAATCATACCTACAATCATGAGTTAAATGTGATGAAGATCAAATGAGATACTGCAAGCAGGCATTCAATGTTTGGGATTTTCCTTTCCTTCTTGTAACTATTTGAACAAAGATATTCTAAAGAATTGACTGGTGGTAGAGGCTTTTTCTCTACCATGTGCAGAGAAAATGTAATCATCATTTCTATGTAATTCTAAGAAGTTTCTTGATACTAGTCTGAATTATTTCTATAATCCCAAATTGAAGTAATTCTATGCATGACTCCTACCAGAGTCTGCCACTGTATGTCTTAGGTTCTGCACCTAAAATAATGACAGGAGATTGGGCTCGCCACAGGAGGGGTGGAAGACAGTGTAATCATCATAAGAGCTGCAGAGTGGATTATTTTCCTTTATTCCTTCATCCTTAGCAACACAAACATCATCCTCTGTGGTGTCAGCAGCCACATGACCCAGATTTTGTGGAGCACTATGTGCAGAATCCAGATTTGAAGTGTTCTATCCTACAGTCTTTATAATTGACCATCAAAGTGTCCTAGAAGTTCTTGGCCTTTTCTCTGAGTCAGTGACTTTTTTTTTTATAAACCCATGAATTTATTTTAGTAGTTAAGTAACAGTGGCATTTAATAATCTCACAATACAAATTAATTTTCTCTCCTCTTTAAGTTGGAAGCAAGGTATCATTCTTTCAACCAGATGATGAAGTCGTCGGTAAGTTATAATTTAAAGCCCTATTTCAAGTCCTCTATTTTACTGTCATCTCTTGTTTTTCCAAGGCAATTATTAATGTTTCTTGTGTCCCTTGCTTTGGATAAGATACATACAGGGGCGCCTGGGGGGCTCAGGCGGTTAAGCATTTGCCTTCAGCTCAGGTCATGATCCCAGGGTCCTGGGATCAAGCCCCACATCGGGGCTCCTTGCTCAGAGGAAGTCAACTTCTCCCTCTCCCTCTGCCTCTCACCCCACTTGTGCTTACTCACTCTTTCTCAAATAAAATCTTAAACAAATAAAAAAGAATACATATATCCTGAATCTGCTCACAAGTATCCACTGATGAAGAGAATTTGGAGTTAAATTCTCAATAGCAGAATATTTAAAACCTTCTACTATTTGACTATTGAACAATATGATAGAAAGTTGACCATAGTTGTTAATGTGGTCGGTACAGCCTTTCCTGACAGGACCCTAGTCTATGACTCGACTGCAAATTCTGGAACGCACAGTCACAAGTCACCTGCTTGAAGACTGCTCACTGACCGGGCTGTATGGAAGCTCCGCTGTCCATATCCAGCTTGCATTTCACAGAGCTGCTCCCTCAGTAATCTTGTAAAACCAAAAGTCCACTGGAAACCTTCAGATGATTGGTTATCTTAAAAACCCACAGCGAATACTATTCTCCCAATATATACGAATTTATATTATTATATCCTAAACAGTCACACAAACATATAAAATATGACTTTAATAATAGTCTTGAAAATTAACATTTGTGTGGAAAATATTGTTAGGAAGATACTTAAACTTAGAAAAAAATCAACTTTATGGTATGCTTGAAGTTGTTAATAGCTTTTTATGGTATTGCCTTTGACTCATGTATTTTTCTTAGAGAACTTATTATTTCTGTCTTTAAAAAATATATATGTATGTTAATGTATAAACATATATTAAATATGTATATATAACATATATATATATATATATTTAAAGATTTTATTTGTTTTTTTGAGACTGACAGGGAGAGCATGAGCCAGGGGGGTGAGCAGAGGGACAGGGAGAAGCAAGCACCCCACTGAGCAGGGAGCCTGACTCGCTGGATCCCACGACCCTGATCGGAAGGCAGACGCTTAATCCACTGAGCCACCCAGGTGCACCTATTTCTATCTTATTCATCCAAGAAGTCAATGACACTGTGTTACTCAAGATTCCTTTTGTGTTGTTTTTTAAAAGATTTTATTTATTTATTCATGAAAGACACAGGGAGAGAGGCAGAGACATAGGCAGAGGGAGAAGCAGGCTCCCTGCAGGGATTCCAATGCAGGACTCGATCCCGGGATTCTGGGATCACGCCCTGAGCCGAACGCAGACGCTCAACCACTGAGCCACCCAGGCACCCCTCAAGATTCCTTTGTAAGAGACCAAAAATGAAATCGGATTAGCATAGAGGAAAATGGGATTTTACTAGAAGCATCTTATAGAATCAAACTGTGGGAATGTAGCTGTGCATCAAGAACAATTTTAATGAGGAATCCAGGTGCCCCCAAATCTCTAACTTGCCTCTGTACATAGGACACCATCACTCAGGTCACAGAAGAGGGAGAAAAAGAAAGAGAGCATAGGCAATATAGCCTTCATGACAGAAAATGAACAGTCTGCTTCCCTTCCATACTTCTGAGGCCTCTTCCTTCCCCACACTAATAATTACTGGAATCTTCCTCAAAATTCTAGTGAACAAAATTTAGACTAATACTTACTGGCATCTCATTAGGAATGAATTCATTTATGGGATTGTTTCTGTTAAGTTTCTCCTGTCGATTTCCAGGAATTCTGCCCCTGGATTCTGAAGACCCCGGACTTTGTGAAGCTGTTAGAGTGCACGAGCATTACTTGGGTATGTGCCAGTCTTTTGCTGCTCATGTAAGTCTTGCATCATTGTTGTGTGGTGTTTAGTAACATCGCAATGTATTTGCATCTACCTTGTGTAATAGCCATTGGCTGATCACGTGAACACTGCTAGCATATATTTAGTATCCATAAAATTCATATTCAGACCAAACAGCATATAGACTTTTAAATCTCACTTAGACTGCAGTGGTGAGATGTTTGAAAATTAATTTCTTCCTTGGCTCTGAAATTATATCACTGATCAGAATTGTTTTTTTAATTGAGAGATGGTTGGCATACAATGTTATATTAGTTTCAGGTGAAGAATATTTTTTTTTTTTTACTTCTTATAAAAATAATTTTTTTACTTATTTAAAAAATTCTTTTTTTACTTCTTATTCTTCATTATTAGTTGAAACTAAAAATATGTGAAATCTAGATAATATGTGCAGAGTCTGAGACAGGAAAGAATATAGAACACTTGTCTTTGGTTTCTATTGTTAATATATTTTTAACAGTTTTTTTAATTTAACTGAAATGTTAATTTTAAATTTCTCCTATAGTAATTTACTTCTTGAATATATAGAATAAATATAAATACACACACTTTAAGAAACTATAGTGAAATGATGCTGCATCTCCTTAGTAATCAGGGGAAAGCAAATTAAAACCCGCTTCAGGATACCATTACTCGGGATCCCCGGGTGGCGCAGCGGTTTGGCACCTGCCTTTGGCCCAGGGCGCGATCCTGGAGACCCGGGATCGAATCCCACGTCGGGCTCCCGGTGCATGGAGCCTGCTTCACCCTCTGCCTATGTCTCTGCCTCTCTCTCTCTCTCACTATGTGCCTATCATAAATAAAAAAAAAAGGATACCATTACTCATCCACATGATTGACAAATTTTATCAAGTCCCCGCTGAGCCACCGGGGCTGCCCAATAGTTAACTTTTTATAACAAGTTATTTTAGGGGACTTAGTCAAAACTCAAGCCTGAGAATCGAAATGAAAGGTTTTAGTTGACTCCATAGTTACAAGGTTCTCAACAAACAAGTGAAATAAGGCCCAAGGAAATTCTGGTGCCAAAAACAGTATAGTTACCTGTAAAAAAGCCAGTGGTGATCCTCAATTTTCAAACTGCATAAAATTGAAATAGCTTTGGAGTAGAGACTTTCATAGCATGGTATTTGAAAGTGAGTTTTATCTTTCAAAGGAAGACACATACTTGGCTCCATATCTAGGTTTAATATACACAGGCCTCAGATTTCCAGAAAAAATGACTTTTAAAATTAAATTTTTTTTTAAGATTTTATTTATTTATTCATGAGAGACACACAGAGAGAGAGGCAGAGACATAGGCAGAGGGAGAAGCAGGCTCCATGAAGGGAGCCTGACATGAGACTCGATCCCGGGACTCCAGGATCACGCCGTGGGCCAAAGGCAGGCGCTAAACCACTGAGCGACCCAGGGATCCCCAAAATTAATTTTTTTAAGTGAACTATCCCCAACATAGTGCTTGAACTCATTACCCCAAGATCAAGAGCTGCATGCTCTCTTTAATAAATTTTTTTAAAAAAAGAAGGTAAGTTAACTTAAAAAAACAAAAAAGGGCCCATTCTTTCTTCTGAGATTTGGCATGATTTATACACATTTCCATCATGTATTTACCAATTGTTTTTTACTAACAGCTTCATTGAGATATAATTTACATACCATAAAATTAACCTTTGTAAACCATTCATTTTTAGGTTTTTTTTAAGATTTTATTTATTTATTTATTCGTAGAGACACACACACAGAGAGAGAGAGAGAGAGAGAGAGAGGGAGGCAGAGATACAGGCAGAGGGAGAAGCAGGCTCCGTGCAGGGAACCCAACGCGGGACCCGATCCCGGGTCTCCAGGATCATGCCCTGAGTCGAAGGCAGACACTCAACTGCTGAGCCACCCAAGTGTCCCAGTCATTTTTCGTATATTGACAAAGTCGATCAAGCCTTATCACTAATTTTAGAATACTTTATCACTCCAAAAGAATCTCCATTCCCATTGGCAGTTATTCTCCATTTTCCTTCCACAGCTTCTCAAAACCATGAATATACTTTTTCTTTCTATTGATTTGCTTATTTCGGACATTTCATATACATTAATCTTGCAATATGTGGTCTTTTGTAATTGTCTTAATTCATTTTTCATGAAGTTCATGTTTTCAAAGTTCACGCATTGTGTGGCATCTATCCATATTTAATTCTTTTCAGTGGTTGAATAAAATACTCCATTGTATGAGTATACCACATTTTGTTTTATCCATTCATCTGTGATTGGATATTGAGATTGTTTCTACTTTTTTTGGCTATTATGCATAATGCTGATCTGCACATTTATGTAATAAATTTTTGTATGGATATATGTTTTTATTTCTCTTGGGTATATACCTAGGAATAGAATTATTGAATCATATAGCAACTCTACATTTAACATTTTGAGAAACTGAGAAACCATTTTCAAAATAGCAGCATTTTATAATTCAACGAACAATGAAACAGCATCTCAGTTGCTCCTCATCCTCACTACTGCTTATTATTTTCTGCCTTTTTAATTTTAAGCATCCTAGAAATGAAATCTTGTTGTTTTCATTTTATTTCCCCAATGACTAATGATATTGAAAATTTTTCATGCTTATTGGACATTTGTATATCTTATTTGGAGAAATACCTGTTCAGATCCTGTGCCCAGTTTTTAAATTGTGTTATCCTTTTTATTGGTGAGTTGTAAGAGTTCCTTATATATTCTAGATAGAAGCTGCTTGTCAGATAAATTGATTATAAATATTTTCTCCCATTCTAAAGGTTGCCATTTCATTTTCTTATGACATCCTTTAAAGCACAATATTTAAAATATTGAGTGGGTTTCAGGTTCTTCATATTTTCTTTTATCCATTGTGCTTTTAGTATTATTTCTAAGAACTCGTTGCCAAAGATAATTTTACAAACATTTACACCTGTGATTTCTCCTAAGAATTTTATATACTTAGCTCTTACGTTTACTTCTGTGATGCATTTTGAGTTAATTTTTGTACATGGTATGAAATAAATGTTCTTTTTTTTACATGTAGATATCTAGTGTCCCAGAATCATTTGTTGAAAAGACTCTTCTATACCTACTGAATTGTCTTGACACTCTTGTTCAAATCTTCTTTTTTTATTATTTATTTATTTATTTATTTTAGTTTATTTATGATAGTCACACAGAGAGAGAGAGAGAGAGAGGCAGAGACACATGCAGAGGGAGAAGCAGGCCCCATGCACCGGGAGCCCAACGTGGGATTCGATCCTGGGTGTCCAGGATCGCACCCCGGGCCAAAGGCAGGCGCTAAACCACTGCGTCACAGATGATGGCAAGGTTGCAGAGAAAGGGAAAGCCTCTTAACACTTTTGGTGGGAATGCAAACTGGTGCAGCCACTCTGGAAAATAGTATAGAGGTTCCTCAGAAAATTGAAAAGAGAGCTATCTGACAACCGGGCAAAAAGGGCCCATTTTTCTAGGTGTCGCCAAATACTGGAAATTTATAAAATGGACCAGAAAGAGAAAAGCAAATTGGAACATCAGTTTCCTAGCTATAAAGCTTAAACTAAGACAAGCAAACCACACAAATGACCTTTTATTTTCCTATGAATCAGGAGGATTGTAGTCCAAAAATCCATTAACACATATAAAGAAAATAATTCCAGATATTCCTTGAGGAAAAAAATACAGTAAAATGTTTCTTTAAGAGAGGAACTTTACGAATGGCCACTTACTGTGACTGCTTGCCTTTGGACAAGACACTGTGCACATTCACCAAACTGGATAGCCTCTAAATTCTGTTGGTGCTCCAACATTTTGTAAAAGATGAAATAATTTCAGTATGTTCCCTGGAGATTTGCGGAAGGAAATACTCAGTTTAGCACAACTCTATTTCAGTTTCTGTTAATTCTTTAGTAATTTTTTTAAAATGAAAGTTGAATACTCAGCCACCTTCAGATAAGTCTGTTCTTTCCCAAACCGAAGAATTAGGTTCCAAACAACTTCCCCAAAAATGTCTTATTAATCCTGCTACAGAATACTAAAGATAAAGTTAAGAAGTTGATTGAATCTTCCAGTTCTTTTGTGCTTTCAACTCTTAACCCATTTATGTCAAGCATAAAAATAATTTTTTCATTCAAAATTTAGTACACATTTTCAGCATTATTTTTTTGGACCTAAGGTAGAAAGAATTGAAATTATAATTCTTGGGTTTGATATGCTGTTATTATACCTCCCTGGTTCTTCTATTTATATTTTTAGTTTTTCATAACATAATAAATACTTGTGGACCACCTAACACAAAAGCAAGGATCTCAACATTAAACCACATTACCATGCAATGTTAGAGCCTTTGCTATCTAAATATAGTTTATTACTGTTAGCTTTTTTTTTTTTTAAAGGACTACAAGTTTGGTTTGGTTGTTTTGGGGTTCTTTTAAAGATTTATTTATTTTAGTGAGACAGAGAGTGAACGAGGGAAGGGGCAGAGGGAAAGAGAAAATCCTGAAGGACTCTGCTGAACACAGAGCCTAATGCGGGGCTCAGTCTTGCAACCCCAAAATCATGACCTGAGCTGAAACCAAGAATTGGATGCTTAACTGATTATGCCACCCAGGCACCCCTACATGTTTGATTTCTTAATGAAAATATAGGCAGTCCCAATTCTTATAATGGAGGATATTCCCACAACAATATAAGTAAACTAGAAATGCCTGGGTGGCTCAGTTGGTTAAGCATCTACCTTTGGTACAAGTGGTGATTCCAGGGTTCTGGGATTGAGCCCCACATAGGGCTCCCTGCTCAGCAGGGAATCTGCTTCTTCCTTTCCTTCTGCTGCTCTCCCTGCTTGTGCTCTATGTGTGTGTCAGATAAGTTAAAATCTTTAAAAACAACAACAACAACAATATAAGTAAACTGTAGGTACCTTGAGTGTGCTCTGTTCGAGTAGGTGTGCTTTAGAGTCAGACATTCGAATTTCTTAGCTGTGTGGCCCCAGACAAATTAATTACCCTGAACCTCACCTTATAATCAAGAAAATTAGGAAGATAGGTATTTTAAAGAGTTTGGTAAAGAATAAAGTACCATGCGTGAGTGATATCACCTGGTGCTCTATTTTAATGCCTTGCTGGTCTGAACATTTTCAGCACATAGGTGTGGGTGTTCTGTCCTCTAGATGGCACTAGTTAGTTGATATGTGCAATGCTGAGTGGCCTGTGCTACACCATCTCAACTTTAGAGGGAAAACATTTGAAAGAGTTAGTAGGCCACAGAAGTGTTATAAAGTTGATTTTAGGTAAAATGAGAAAGGACAGCTTTTAACTGAAAAAAATCACATTCATTGTACAAAATAAAAACCTAAAAACTAAATAATTTAATTTATTAAGGAAGAGCTTAATGATCAGATCATATAGAGCTCTTTATATTAGGAGTTTGCATTTTGTCTCAAGTGCAGTAGAAAGCCATTGATGAACTGAGCTAACATCAAGAGTCAGTCAATCAACTGAGACATCCAGGTGCCCCACCACTGAACTTTAAACAGAGAAATGTTAGCATGTTATGTATGCTTTTAAAAATCATTCTGGGGGCGCCTGGGTGGCTCAGTCAATTAGGTGTCCAGCTCTTGATCTCAATTCAGGTCTTCATTTCAGGTCGTAAGTTCAAGCCCCATGAAAAGAAAGATCATTCTGACACTTCTGTTTTCCAAAACACTATTAGGGATATTGAAGAAAGAAGACATAAAGTTGAAAATAATACTTAGAACATGTAAACAAGCAGTTCATTTAGAATATGTTTTTAACTTCCTGTAAATCAATAAGAAAAAGATAATACAACTAAGAAATTGATAAAACACTTGGACAGTTGTTTCACAAAAGGAATTCCAGATGGCCAGCAAACACAGAATAGCGTCCGGAAAAACAAGTTAAAATCACAGTAAGAAACCCTTTACACACCCTTTTGATTGGTAAGAATGTATACTAGTGCCAGGGGTTGACAAGGGTGTTTACAGTGATAGGAGCACCATTACCCAGCTATATGGGAGAATGAATTCAGACAGCCACTTCAGTAGTATGTAGTAAAGTCAAAGGTGGTATTCCTGTGAGGTGGGATTTCCATCCTTGAGTACTGTCTTAGAAAAAACCCACATGACAGCATAATGCCATCTTTTATATGAGAGCATTCTTAGCAGCATGGTTTAAAACTGCCACAAACTGAAAACAACACAAATCCTCCTCTACTAGAGTTGTATCACCAAATGAATGTTTTCACATAGTGGAAACCCATAAAACACCAGAAAAAGGAAAGCACTGCAGCCACATTTACAAAAATGGTTATGGCTTTAAAACAATGTTGAGAGGGAAAAAGGAAGATAGAAAAGAGTTCATATGATGCCACTGAGATAAAGTTCAAAAAGAGGCAAAACTAAATGACATTGTTTAGAAATGCATACTTGGGCCATAAACTATGAAGGTGAACAAGACTGAGGTAGCGACCGCTGGTGGGAAAGACAAGGCTGTGGGCTGTGCGTTTTCTCTCAACCAAGATTGGTGCTTACTTGTATATTTGCTTGGTATTTATCCACCCATCTATACTTACGTCCCATGTACTTTTCTGCATGTGTTTTATTTCACAATATGATATTTTAAAAATGCACACACACACTGACTCCTATGCTAAGAGTGCATTACGTGTGGGCAAGAGTGGAACTGGGGAAACCAAAATGTCAGCAAAAGAGAAAGGAGTAGTGCCTTGGACCAGGGCCACAGTGGGACTGAGAAGAGATAGATCCAGGAGTCAGGACTAATGGGACTTGCTAACTGATTGCTTCCTCTTGTTCTTTGTGACAGTTCACAAACCAGAAAAAGTTACATGGACAGAAGCTGCTGGAACCATTCGGGATGGAGTACGAGCCTATACAGCGCTGCATTATCTTTCTCATCTCTCTCCTGGAAAATCAGTGCTGATAATGGATGGAGCCAGTGTAGGTGCTAATAATTCTGCTAAGAAACAGATCAAAAGCTACTAAACTTAGGAAGTAGGCCATCCATTTGCTAATATAATTCTCTGCTGATAGCTTATTCACTGCTCATTTTGTTAAAATAGGCAGCTTTGACTAATAGGAGATTAAAGTTAGACTTAAGGGTGTTTAGTTTATTATTTTGAATCTGCTAGTACATTAAAAAAGCAGACAAGCCATGTTTTTATGCCTGTTATACAGAGCCTGAAATGGCTCATGAAATCTTTGAAGCCATGCCCCAAAACTCCCTACCAATTTTGTGTATGCCTCACATTTACACTTGTGTCGATAAGGTGGTGTATTTCTAGATGGGTCACACAAGATAAAAAATGTGCTCCTGTCAATATATTACACGTATCAACAAAAAATAGTTCAAGACACTAAAAATACATAAAAATAAATTATAATCTAAAAAGGTCACTAAACTTGGGGTGAATTTTTATCATTTTTTATGTGGCTGTTGATGAAAATGCTTTTATCCCTTGCTTTTCTGTGCAAAAAAGGCAGAACTGTCTTCAGCATTGGCTTCAAACTGATGCCTAGCATCAGGGTAGTAGTGTTTCCTTGAGCTCACCCCTCAGGTCAGCAAAAGGATGGAGCTTTTGAGAGTTCTTTGATCTTTAAAGAGAGATAGATGGACTCATGCATGTACTGTGAAATTAGCTTAGAACATCATGCTGACAAGGCCCTTAAAAGCCCATTTTTCTCTTCCTGAGGCCCAAGTTTCTGAATGCAGCCCTCCATCTTGAAATTATGTGCAATGACGAGACTGGGTGAGAGCATGTGACATGTATACCTTTTCTGCCACCCCTTCTGAAGAAGAAAGTCAGATGTCTCAACCTTGTCCATATTTCTTTTTCTTTTTCTCTCAGATAATATTCAAAAATATACTAAAGTAGCACTAAGCTATTAGACTTTATTAAACGGCCTATGAAACAAGTTAGATATGGCCTCTGCCTTATATCTGTAAGCCCATTTTGTATTTTTTCCCCACACAGGCACTTGGTATGATAGCTATTCAGTTAGCACACCATAGAGGAGCCAAAGTGATTTCAACAGCAGGCAGCCTTGAAGACAAGCAATGCCTTGAAAGACTTAGGCCTTCTATAGGTGGGTACTATTACTCAACACAGACTCTGCAACAGAAAATTTTGAAGAGATACCATCTTATAGACTAAACTCATAAAGTACAAAATCCCAACCATAGCAACTTTTTTCTAGGTGTGTTTCCTGAAGCAGGGGAAACAAAAGCAAAAATAAACTATTAGGACTACATCAAAATAAGAAGTTTCTGCACAATGAAGGAAACAACAAAACTAAAAGACAGCCTACTGAATGGGAGGAAATATTTGCAAATGACATCTCTGATAAAGGGTTAGTATCCAAAATACATAAAGAATTCATACAACTCATCGCTCAGAAAACAAATAATCCAATTAAAAATGCATAGAAGACATGAACAGATATTTCTCCAAAGAAAAAATACAGATGGCCGACAAATGAAAAGATGCTCAGCATCACTCATCATCAGGGAAATGCAAATCAAAACCACAATGAGATGGCTAAAATAAAAAACACAAGAAGCCACAAGTGTTGGAGAGGATGTGGTGCATGCCACTATTGAAAACAGTATGGGAGTTCCTCAAAAAGCTAAAACTGGAACTACCTTGTGATTCAGTAATCGCACTACTGGGTATTTAACCCCAAAATATAAAACACTAATTCAAAGGGATACATGCACCCCTCTGTTTATTGCAGCATTAATATTTAGAAAAGCTAAATAATGGAAGCAGCCCAAATGTCCATTGACTGATGAGTGGATAAAAATCATATGAAATGTATATCTCATATATACATAGGAATATTATTCAGCCATTAAAAGATGAAATCTTGCCATTTGCAACAACATGGATGGAGCTAAAGAGTATAATGCTAAGCAAAATGAGCTAGTCAGAGAAAGAAATACCATTCAATTTCACTGGTGGAATTTAAGAAACAAAACAAGTGCACAAAGGAAAAAAAAAGGAGAGAAACTAATGATTATTAGACTCTTAATTATAGAGAAGAAACTGATGGTCAGGAGAGGAGAGGTGGGTGAGGATTAAGAGGACACTTACCTTTTTTTTTTTTTTTAAGATTTTATTTATTTACTCATGAAAGACATAGAGAGGCAGAGACATAGGCAGAGAGAAGCAGGCTCCCTGCAGGAAGCCCAATGTGAGACTCGATCCCAGACCCTAGGATCAGATCACGACCTGAGCTGAAGGCAGACGCTCAACCACTGAGCCACCCAGGCATTCCAAGAGGACACTTATCTTGACAAGCCCTGAGTAATGTATAGAACTGCTGAATCACTATATTGTACACTTGAGACTAATAGAACACTATGTTAGCTCTACTGGAATTAAAAAAAATAATAATTAAAAAAAGCTCAACAAAAAAATGAAAAGATTGAACCTGTCCAAACAATACAAATGGAAAGGATAAAGAAAATAGACTGAAAAAATGACCAAGGAGAGAAGAATGAGGAATGGAGAAACTAACAGATGAAGAGATAAGAGGCTGAGCCAGAGTGTGAGGGGCAGGCAGGAAGGGGAGTAAGGTTCATTGAATGTTAGTGTGAATAATCTATCCTGACATCGTCAACAGCCCCGTCAGTGAACCAGGGCGCAGCATCTACAGGATTTAACCAGTGTGTCCAAGGAGCTACAACTAGATTGGAGTGGGATTTAAATCCAGGCCCATCCGACCTTAAAGCCCTCCTTACTTCCATTGTTACCTTCTGCCTCTGACAGAGATAACCAAGACATGGAAGAAAGGTTAAGACAGGGACTGGAGAAAGGAGGAAAAACAGGAAAAGTTTGGAAATGGAATTGAGAGTTGGGGGGCAGACCATGAACTATATTGTTGAATGGAGAGGCTTCTTCCTGCCCTTCAGAGGTACTTCAGTCCCTTCCCAAATGTCTTCCCTAGGCATGCCCCCGGCCCCCACCTCTTAGATCACTGTCGTTCTACACCCCTTACCTGAGCCTCCATCTGAGCCATGCTGTGAGGAATTCTCTTTTACAAGAAGGTACTAAAAGTTATGAAAAGGAATTATAAACACGTCTTCATTTTGACAGTTCAAATACTCAGATTTTTTTTTTTTTAAGATTTTACTTATTTATTCATGGGAGACAGAGAGGCAGAGACACAGGCAGAGGGAGGAACAGGTTCCCTGGGGGAGTCTGATGCTGGACTCCATCCCAGGATCCCAAGATCACGCCCTAAGCCAAAGGCAGACACTCAACCACTGAGCCACCAAGACATCCCTAGATTTTTTTTTTTTAATCTCATTGGCTTGTTCTATTGATATAATACTCTAAAACTAGTCTAGTTTTCACTAGCTGATCAAAATAATCATTTTTTCCCCTTAATCTCCAGGATTTTTCTTCATTTTGGAAAACAAGTGGGGAAGGCAGCAGAGGGGTGGATTTCCATGACTGAAAAGGGATAACACAGCCTCTAATAGAGAAGTATTATATCACACCAATACCGTTTTTACTTTTTAGCTCTAAATTCTATTAAACCTGAACATAAGAAATTGCCTAATCTTTCAGTTTATGCCTCAATATGTATTTATCTCTGTGGTTTACAGATTCTCTGTTCTATTTAGCAATAAGGTACAGTCCTCTTTTAGTAGGCCAGCCTTGGAACACATCATCCGCAAAATATTAAGTATCATTTTTATTTTTATTTATTCATTCATGAGAGACACAGAGAGGCAGAGATATAGGCAGAGGGAGAAGCAGGCTCCCTGCTGGGAACCCAATATGGGACTCGATCCCGGGACCCTGGGATCACAACCAGAGCCGAAGGCAGACGCTCAACCACTGAGCCACCCAGGTGCCCCAATATTAAGTATTTTAATTTTATTGACTATACCAGTCCCTTCCTTTAAATTAATCCCTACCACTGTTGGGTCAGAAGAGAAAAAATAAAATTTGGATCCAGTAATTGAACCACTCCATACATTTCAGAGAAGAAATATTTGCTTTTTCTTTTTCTCTGATTTCTTTGTACTCATCACATAGAGAACAATACAATTGCTGACTTCCTGTCCTTTACAGCCCGAGTCATCGACGTTTCTAGTGGGAAAGCCCATGTTGCTGAAAGCTGTTTAGAGGAAACAGGTGGCCTGGGAGTAGATATTGTCCTAGATGCTGGAGGTAGGTACTTTACTAGATTAGTAGTCTGTGTCATTTTTGTAGTGTGATGGATGCATCTCAAAAAAAATTAATATATAACCAGGTAATAATTAACATTTATTAAATTGATGTCATGTTTTGTTTTTAACATTTCTATTTAAACTGGAGCTTCTTGAATCCCATTGTAAACACTGTCTGGAAGAGAGAGCATGCTTACCTTTAAAATACAGGCATTGGAAAAAAATAAATAAATAAAAAATAAAATACAGGCATTGGAGTTTAAATGTTTCTACGGAAATGAACATCATCTTTTCTCAGGGGTTCCCAGATGATACACATTAGTTCAGCTCTCAGCCAGATACTTAGTTGTGCTGTGTCTGTCTGTCCTCTATTGGATGGCTGACTTCTGCAATCTCTATTTGGAAAACATAGAATTTTGTTCCGTTTTTACCTTCCTTGATCTTTTGTTATTTAACCAGTATCTATTTAACACCTAATCTGTACACACTTAGGTAGGGCCATTGCACAGAAAGCATAGGATTCACAAGCCTGCAAAGGGAGGCTTCATACTTTGTTAAGATTTATCTTCTGTGATGAGAATCCTAGGAATACAACTGTGACCATTTTAACATGTTTCTTTTTAACCAGTATTTTCAGGACTTGAAATTAACTCAGAAAAATCAGTTCTTGGCCTTTTGGCTAAGATCAAGTGTGAAATTAACTCAGAAAAATCTTTCAGTGGAAGTGACTGTGTACATCACTAACTTTTCAAATATACATTTAAATAATTATGTCAATGTGTGACTATCTTGAGTCTGTGGGTTCCTTAATCAGAAGTCAACTTTTCCCAAAGAATTAGTCAATGATATGATTAAAACTATCAATCTTAGTTATGTATTATGTTGTTGCCTTGCCTGGTTTTAAAATGAAAATAAACTTTTTGTCTTTTGTTATTTCACTTGTAATTGAATCTAGAGTAAATTTTATGACCAGTTTTAATGCAAAAAGTTTATTTTAAGGTGTCTGAATACATTGTTACTTTATTTCTTTCTAAGAAGAATGCTTCCTCATTCCTAACATTAAAAAGTAAAAGTAAAGAGGACTCAAAAAAAAAGGACTAATTTGAAGAATAAAGAATAAATTTTTGCCCGATTACTATAAAATATATTTCTTGTCTCTCTCTCTCCCTTTCTTTTTTTAAACTATTCCCTTGTAAGTGAGATTATATAGTAAAGATGATGAACCAGCTGTAAAATTACAACTACTACCTCATAAACATGATATCATCACACTTCTTGGTGTTGGAGGCCATTGGGTAACAACAGAAGAAAACCTGCAGGTATTATCAGAAACAATAAACCATTAATATTACACTGGCAGGATGTAATTAACAAAGAATAATGCCTAAGTCTTTTGAAGCAAAATGTGAAGAAATTATAAATTCTGAATTATACCTATTTCTAATGAAATGTAGCTTTCTTTTTTACTTTAGATACATGGTGGCCAAAATGTAGAAATAATGCCATTCAACTTTTATTTAGTGGTTTGGAAGAAGTGACTTCTGAATTTTTTATTAGTATTTCTAGTAAGATTTTCTTTTCTCATAGTAACAAACATTGTTGGCATATACTTGGCAGAATATTTCTACAAAATTACAACAATTCCCCATTCACATTGGAATTTACTACAAATGTGTGTATATACATTACTCCCAAAGTTATATTTTTCAACAGTATTCAAGTTTTCTTATCATGGCTGATATGTAAATAACATAACTCTCATATATCAATTGCCACTGATTTTTTTACATCCTCATGAAGATAACTGGTAAGTAACAGGTAAAAATCTCACTCTGTCTCATACACGCATGCACATGCACACACACATGCTCACACACAGGCACACGCTTATACAACATATACACACACATCCACACACATGCATGACACAAACTACCAGTCCATCACCTCTACATAGGTCTTGCATCTGACCTTGCTCTTTTCATCGTTTTGGACAATGAATTAGAAAACATTGCATTTTGCATATTGTTATTAAAGTTTCTATGCTGTTTGTGTGCTGTTTGTGATTTGGGTATTTGCATAGAAGTTTTTCTGGCTCAAGATATCAGTCATCTGTCTGCTATTAAACTCACAGTCATTGATGAGTTTTTGTATGTTCTATCCAAGTTGGATCCTCCAGATAGCCATTGCCTTTTCCTCAAAGGAGCAACGGTGGCTTTCCTTAATGACGAAGTTTGGAATTTGTCAAATGTGCAACAGGGAAAATATCTTTATATCCTTTTTTATCTACTGACTTGAGTTTATGGCTTGAGATTTACCATGTACTCTCATTAAGTTCTTTAAAATGATGATTGATAATAATAATATAGCTAACTTTCATTGAGCATGCCAAACAGTGTTCCAAATGCTTTGTAAGTATTAATTTATTTAAGCATTAAAATGGCCCTGTGAGTTGTAAGTACTATCATTATCCCTGTCTCACAGAAAGATTAATACGTGTCCCAGGATGCAACTAGAAAGGGGCAGGACAGGAATCACCCAGGCAGTCATACTGGGTTCTGAGTGGAAGATAAACCACAAGATACAAGGCATTATGAAAATTACACATCACTGTGAAAGGCTGCATCCTTAATCTAAGCTATGATGGTACTATTACATAAGACATTTCAGAATGCTCATCTGCATTAGAGAGCTTGTGAGGTGTTTTAAGATTAACAGTGCTAGAAAATCTTCATCAAATGAAAATGGGTTTGTTTTTTAAATGGAATTAATTCTAAGAAAAATCTGGTGAATGAAGCCAAATCATTCCAGTTTTGGTAAAAGCAATGAAATCTTCTCTTGAGAATGTGAAAGCAGTTCCAAAAGAATGATCCAAACCTCTTTAGAACAGGGTCAAACCTATGAATAAAACTTTTTTTTTTTTCTAAGATAACTGTCTTAAAGGCAACTGTACTTGGTAAAAATTGTATTGGATGAAACATAAGTTCTTATTACTTAATAGAGTAAATCTGTATGCAAAGAAAGAAACTTGCCTTAGTTTGTCCACTATCATACTTTGCTTTTGTTAAATGTGTGTAGTTAGGTACACATGGTACTTAGAAAGGCCCACCTCCTCTACGAGAATGACAGAATTAATTCAGAACTTTCAAATAGGAGTTTTTAATTAGGACCCTGAATATGTTGAGTCACAAAAAGTACATTTCAGAACCAGAATATCCCCTTACTGTAGGGAATGTGTGAGTTTCAAGTATTTCTAAATATTTTTCTTTGAATTTGGAAAATCAACTTAATTTTTTAACTTTCTAAAAGAAATCCTTAGATTTCAGGTTTAAGCAACTTAACTGTCCACTAACATTGTAATTATCAAGAATATCATGAGATGTTAACAATGAAGAATACCATGTGTTAACCGTAACACTAGATAGTGTGTTTCGAATCTTACATGTCAGGAGCTAGGCTGGCTCCTTTGCCTTTGTTACTTAATTTCCTCCATACACACACACTCTTAGAGTTACTGTTGGCATTTTCAGTATTTTCACTTAAGAGAAGTAGAAAGAGAATTTGCAGTATGAAGTCCTCTTTAAGAAAATCTTTAAAATGGCTTATGTTCTGGGGCTCCTGGGTGGCTCAGTTGGTTAAACGTCTGCCTTCAGCTCAGGTCACGATCCCAGGGTTCTGGGATGGAGCCCCACATTGGGCTCCCTGCTCAGTGAGGTGTTTGCTTCTCCCTCTCCCTCTCCTCCCACCCATCCAATGCTTGCTCACTCTCTTTCTTGTGAATAAATAAAATCTTTTTTTTTTTTTTTTTTAAGATTTATTTATTTATTCAGAGAGAGAGAGAGGCAGAGACACAGGCAGAGGGAGAAGCAGGCTCCATGCAGGGAGCCCGACGTGGGACTTGATCCCGGGTCTCCAGGATCACACCCCAGGCTGCAGGCGGCGCTAAACTGCTGCACCACCAGGGCTGCCCTAAAATCTTTAAGATAAAAATAAAATGGCTTATGTTCGTACTTTCTAATTTACATTTTCTAATTCCTGAACTCTCAAGTTCCAAATCAGACTTCAGTCCTCACTTGTGCTAACCCCTCTCAATCAATTCAGACGTGAGCCAGCTGCTGCTTATGATTTAACAGACCTTCGACTGGTTCTATGCCATGTCATTCTCTAGTACTAGCAATTACATAGAGTCTCAATCCTAAAATTATAATTTCAATTAAATGACTAATTTTTTTCTTAATTTTACACTATTTCTTGATTCTCTTAGTGGCACTGTTAACTTTTCTGCCCACAAAATCTGAGCCAATTAGCAGCCAGTTTAGTACATAAATGTGCACCTAACATAAGAGATGCAAGTGCTAACATTTTTATCTAAAAATATCATAAATAGTGCTAAAAGGAAAACTTGACACCATAACACTTCTGCTTGTTTGGGATAACAAGAGTCATTACTTAGGACTACTCATTAGGCTTGCTGCTTCTGCCACTTGTCCTTAGAAGTTTAGGCTCTGTTATGTCTCCGCTTCTCTCGAGTGAGTTCCCCATTTCCCTGTTTCCAAGGTAAACTTCACAGCTTACAGAATGTCTGTAACTTAAATTCTCAATTTCTGAGAGTGCTGAACTTAGATAGGTGACCTGCCTAACATCTTCCTTTTATTGACTGGTTTTGTTCGACTGCCACCTTAACAATCTTTCCAGCTACGTATCCTAAAAGATGTGATGGAGAAGCTATCAACTGGAGTTTTTAGGTACGCTAAGTAATCAAATCGTTTATTTTCTATTCTCAAGGAGGTAAGCAAGCATTTCCACTTTCTTTTTTTAATTTTTTTTATTTATTTATGATAGTCACACAGAGAGAGAGAGAGAGACAGAGACAGGCAGAGGGAGAAGCAGGCTCCATGCACCGGGAGCCCGACGTGGGATTAGATCCTGGGTCTCCAGAATCGCGCCCTGGGCCAAAGGCAGGCACCAAACCGCTGCGCCACCCAGGGATCCCGCATTTCCACTTTCATTTCAGTTTTCACAGCATACCTGTTGCCTCCATAGGGTTTTTTTTTTTTTTTTTAATTTGGATAAATAGCCGCTCTTTAATATTTGTCAAAGTGTATCTTGTGATACACCAATAAGTATTCCCTAAGAAGTGACCCATGAGTTCTCCTTAGTGCATTCCATACCATACCATACAACCTTTGCTTTTTTCATCACCTTTCCCAAGGCAACCTAAAATAACCTGTAGACTGAGAAGAGGCGAAAATGCAGTTTTGTTTTTTTAAGTTGGATCTGGGAGTGGATAAAGTTGGCAGTTTTCCCCTTCAAAACTTAACCACTTTTAACAATGGGAATACTAATGGACAAGTTTGTTTGCATTATTTAAAATAATAGGATTGGGGCACCTCGGTGGCTCAGGTCATGATATCCAGGTCCTGGGATGATGGAGTCTGCTTGTCCCCCTCCCTTTGCCTTTCCCAGTGCTCCTGCACGCTCTCTAAAAAAATAAAATCTTTTAAAAAAAGATTGAACTATAGCAATTGTCAACTACCATCCTATTGTTCTACTCATCTTTGCCTTGACCTAACTTTTCTAATAATATCATTCTTCCTCAGGCCTCAGTTGGATGAACCCATTCCGTTGTATGAAGCGAAAGTTTCCATGGAAGTTGTTCAGAAAAATCCAGGAAGAAAAAAGCAAGTTGTTCAATTTTAATTTTGTTCTTTCTCAGACCTCAGTTGGATAAACCCCTTCCAGTACTTGAAGCCCGAGTTTCCTTGGAAATTGTTCAGAAAAGTCAAGGAAGATAAAAGCAGTGTCCGGTTTTCCTAGGAGTCAAGATACTCAAGAGTTACTTTAAGTTTTTGAGAAGTTATTTGAAAAATCATTGCACAAATGGTCAAGACAATTCCATAATTAACATCTAAAGGGATCATTCCGAAATTACTTCTTGCTGGTTTCTACACATTTGCCTTTGTTACAAAATCCTTCCCATGAAGAAAATTGCTTTCAGGAGAAGCCGCGCTACTCTATTGATAAAGTTGTCCGTGTTTGGTGTGTTAGAATAACGTGGTTACTTTTGTATCAACTGCGGTCTCAATGCCTGCCTTCCTTACAAGCCTTTGAGTGTGGTTTCAAGTCTCGGAGGCTCTAGTCCAGAGACACTGTAAAATTTTCTCAAGCATTCGTTTATTTCAGGGACTCCTCGGGATCCAGCAGGACCGTGGCCGAGCCTCGCCGGTGGGGGCGGCCGCGGGGGCGGGGGCGGGGGCGAGGGGGGCGGGGGGAGGCTGCGCTCGCTCGGCTCCCGCCGGGTTCTGTTTTCGGCCCGGGGGATGGAGGCGCAGCCCCCGCCGGCTCTGGGCGCCCGCCGCGGCCCGCCGTAGGCTTAACCCAAGCGGCAGCCCGGTGTGACGTCTTTTCACCCAAGCGCCGGGGTCGGCGCCGGGGCCGGGGCTCGTGGCGTCTCTGCTACAGACCTACGGAGCGCTCGGCTATCCCGGTGCCCCGGGCCGCGGGTTGCCCCGCCCCTCGGCGCCCACGGCCCGGCCACCGCCACCGCCACCGCCAGGGACCCGGCAGCAGCGCCCGGCAGCCGAGCAGAGCCGAGCGCAGCCGAGCGCAGCCGAGCGGACCGACCCGACCGAGGGGAGGGGCGGGGCCTCGGGGCGGCCGACGTCGCTCGCCCGCGGGGGCGGGGCCGGGGGCGGGGCCGGGGCCCGGGCCGGCGCGCGCGGGAAGAGGCAGCGGAGAGGCCCGCGGCTCCGCCTGCCCGAGCCGCGCGTCATGGCCGTCTCGGTGCCCGGCTACTCGCCCGGTTTCAGGAAGCCTCCCGCTACTCTGCGGCTCCGACGGAAAAGGGCCCGCAGCCACGGGTCCGCCGCCGCGCCCGGGGAGCGGCCCGAGCCTGCGCCCCGCCGCGCCGCTCTGGCGGCCGGGCTGCTCCTGCGCCCCTTCCCGGCGGCCGGCGGCGGCGGCGGCGGCCCGGCAGCGGCCCGCAGGAACCCCTTCGCCCGCCTGGACAACTGGCCGCCGGCCTCCGCGGAGCCCCCCGACGGGCCGCCCCGCGGTCGGCAGGAGGCGCAGGCCCCGGTGAGTGTCTCGCGCCCGGCGGGCGGGGGCGGGGGCGGGGGCGGGGGGCGCGGACGCGGCCCTGAGCGTTGGGCGGGGCTGCCCCGAGGCTGCGCTCCGTGTGGCGCGCGCCCCGCGCTCCGGCCCGGGGCCGCTCGGAGCCCCCGGGGGTCGGGGGTCGGGGGTCAGGGGTCAGGGCTCCAGGGGAGGGCGGCTCGTCCGCGGAGGCCGCTGTCCGGTGGGAAGGCCGGAGACCCTCCTGCCCTGCACGACCCCCGCCCTCACGCGCTCGGAAATACTCCGGGTGGAGGAGGGCTGGGGATCCCTGGGTCCGAAATTCCTGGCAGTTCTTACCCCAGAGCCTTGTGGGTCTCTGGGCTTGAGATCTCCGCGCCCGCCGTCGGACGCACGGATCACACCCCCACCCCCACCCCACCCCCACCCCCGGTTTTAATAGTCAAGCCAGACGCGAAACTGACTTGAAGCCCGGATCTGGTGATTTGCATGTGAATTTCCTGCCCTCGGCATTTGTTGAGGCCCTTGGATGCCAGGTGAGGCGCTGGTGGTGGTGAACGCAAACTCCAGCATCGTTTAGGATTAAAAAGAACCATCGTTTTCCCCTCAGTTTGTAGATTCTAATCAAGAAAATGATTCGCTGTGGGAGAAGTTTCCTGAAAGAACAGACGTTACTCAGTTACTTCAGGTAATAGTTTTTAATGTCATTAGAAGGTGTATTCTTAAAATCTAAACGTATACCTCAGAAACATCTTTTTTTGTTAAGTCGTTGCTCGAGAGCGTGGAGGCAGTGGTCATCTCTGCCGGGGTTGAAAAGATGGCATCGGCCCGGCGGAAGCATGAGGTTCCTCACGGTACCAACGCTAAAGTCACTGTAGATACAGGTGTCCCTTCCTCCAACTGTTTTTTTTTTTTTTTTAATTTTTATTTATTTATGATAGTCACACAGAGAGAGAGAGAGAGGCAGAGGGAGAAGCAGGCTCCATGCACCGGGAGCCCGATGTGGGATTCGATCCCGGGTCTCCAGGATCGCGCCCTGGGCCAAAGGCAGGTGCCAAACCGCTGCGCCACCCAGGGATCCCCCTTCAACTGTTTTTAACACTCTCTCTCCGTCGGCGGTGACTCCAGCTCCTCTCTCCACACCCAACTGCTTTTTGAACTTCCTCTTTAACTGAATCTTCAGACAAAATCCCCAAATTACCTCCACAGGTTGTGGCATATCCCTGAACCTTGCAGACACGGCCACAACAGCCATCCTCTTGGTACCATCCCCCAGGTATTCCTGTTGCGCAGCTTGTCCTTAACAGGAACAGGCCAGAAGGGCTAAGACCTTTCATATAAATGGACAGCCTTCACAGGGTCTGTTACAGATAGTTCCCCCGCACCTGTTACTTGGTGTGTGTAATGTCACCTCAAAGAATCATTGTAAATAAAGTGGAGAAAATGGCCTTGAAAGGACAGCAAAACAGTTTGGAAGGAAATTTTGAGATCAGGAAACGTCTTTTTACATATGGCCTCATAAGAGCCCTAAGTTACCTGCAGGAACTGCTTAGCCCTGGTTCCGGAGTTTGCAAGGCTTAAATGGTGCTCTTTAAAATACTTGCAGGGGACCCTGGGTGGCCCAGTCGGTTTAGCGTTCAACTCCTGATTTTGGCTCAGGACCTGAGCAGCGTCACAAGACAGAGCCTCAAATCAGGCTCCACGCTCAGTGGGGAGTCAGCTTGAAGTTCTCTCCCTCTGCTCCTGCCTCCCCCCAATAAATAAATAAATCATCTTTTAAAAAAATAATAAATTACTTGGAAGGTTTTTGCTTTGACAGCAAGATCAGTAGATTTTTTTTTTAATTATGATTGTGGAAATAGTACATGCCTCTTGTATCTAAACTATATATAAACTATAAGGTAAAAATATGGCCCTCCACCACCACCACCTGTAACAACAATAAATTCCCACTTCCAGAGAAAACCACTGTCAACAGTTTACTGTAACTTTCTAGGGTGTTTCACAGTGTGTAGTGTATTTTCAGTGTTACTTATAATGCAGTTATAAGATCCTGACAATTCTGTGATCATGCAGGTTGATAAAATCTGTAGATTAAGAGGGAGGTTTTTTGGTACTCTACTAATTTTTGTGTCCTTTGTTTTCTAAAAGACTCCACAAATACCATTCTCCGAATCTGATACTCCATCCTCAGAAAGTACTGAGTTACCTGTGGACTGGAGTATTAAAACTCGACTCCTTTTCACCTCTTCTCAACCCTTTACCTGGGCAGATCACTTGAAAGCACAAGAAGAGGCCCAAGGTGTCATCCAGCATTGTAGGGCAACAGAAGTTACTTTGCCTCAAAGTATACAGGTAATTCTGAAGGGAAGTAGGTGTGTTTTAAAGTAACAAATTAATTGTAAAACGTACTTCTCTGCAAAATGTCACAAATATTTCCTTCTTCTAAAAAGTTTTTCTTCTAAAGTTTAAAGACACTAAGACTTGGGGAGTTTTGTATTTCTTGCACTTTCATGCAGTTTTCTCTATCAGATTCAGTAACTGCCCATTAAATTTAAAGACCTGTCCTGAGGACTAATGTTAGAGGCAGAAATTGTTTGAACAAAACCATTCTTCTCTAAAGCTTTCTGAGAAAAAAATATAAGGGAGAAAAATGAAAAGCAGTTGAATAGAATTGCAAAGGTAGATTGGTTATTCTCCTGGTTTTCTGATATAATGTATATTCTTTTTTTCATACACACTAATTCTTGCTACCTATTTGATAGTCTCTTGTAAATACTGTAATAGAGTTAATGAGTTCTAGAATGGTTTTGGAAGAATGTAATTGCATTGCTGTCAAGCAACTCATCAACTCAAATTAGGTTAAAAGTGATTACCTAAAAAAGGCCTTGGGGGATCCCTGGGCGGCCCAGCGGTTTAGCGCCTGACATTGGCTCAGGGTGTGATCCTGGATTCCCTGGATCGAGTCCCACATCCGGCTCCCTGCATGAAGCCTGATTCTCCCTCTGCCTGTGTCTCTGCCTCTCTCTCTCTCTCTCTCTCTCTCTGTGTGTGTGTGTCTCATGAATAAATAAATAAATCAAAAAAAAAGAAGGCCCTGATACATCTTTTTTAATAAATCAGGTTGATTTATGATTCTCATTACTCATTTTTACTGGTTCCTGTTGAAACAGTTGTGAGGGGAGAGGGGTTGAACATAGTATTACCTACATGCAGTAAACATCTCCGTCTATAGCCCTACCCTTATGATAACTAAAATAGTCACTGTTCTCAGGAGAGAACAGGAGAGATGAGAGAATGTTCCTATCTGTATTTTAAGTCCTCCTTTTGATATGCTTTAAGATACAATAAAAGCTGGCAAGAATAAACTGCATTTTAGCCGGTGTAACAGTTATGAATACTTTTCTATAGGAAACAGTAAAGGTTCTTAGAATAAGTGGCATATTCAGTGCTTTTTGATGAAATTTTATACTTCTCATGTGGCAAAAACTTGCAATATCATCTCTGGATTTTAGGATCCCAGACTCTCCACTCAGCTCCGTTGTGCCTTTCAGCAGAGCCTAATCTATTGGTTGCACCCTGCCTTTCCCTGGCTACCACTGTTCCCTCGCATTGGAGCTGATAGAAAAATGGCTGGAAAGATAAGCCCTTGGTCAAATGATGAAACCTTGCAACACATTTTAATGAGTGACTGGTAAGATTATTAAAAATTTGTACATCCCAGTAATGTATTTTCATTTTAATCAGTATTCTTATTTACAGTGTGGAAGTGTGTACTGGTAAAAGGTTCTCTGTGTTCCTCTGAATTATTTTTTCTAAGCTGTTAATAATCGATATTTAAGTTGTTTACTTTTTTTGACTCTTATTCACTATGCAATTGTGGAATTATGTATAAGTGTTACATAAATATATACATTCTTTTATGTTATTTCATCTCCGTGGCTGCTTCCTTTCTCATCAGCAGAAGCTGCTCAAAGAAAAGTCAGCAACCAGTTATCAATTA